TTTCATTTAATTTGTCATTTTGTTCTTGTATTTTCTTCCAAAATTCTTCTAGGGATTTTTCTGTGTTTTCTTTGGTCTGTCTCTCAGTCCTTTGTAGATACCTAAATATAATTCTTTTGAATTCCTTATCAGAGAGTTCCAATACTGCTTCTCCTCAGGGATGTGTTCTAGGCCTGTATCCTGCTCCCTTGTTTCTACCACTTTATCCTGCTTCTTTGTGTGGACTGTATTGGTCTGTTTTCTCCAAGGCATCGTGGCTTTGTTGTATTTAGGTCTCTGTTAACTCTTCTTGGTGATTTTTTATCATTGGCCCGTTAGTGGAGAAGGAGAAAGTGGCTTTCGCTCAGTAAGTGAAGTTGCAGGAGGTGTGGATGTAGTTGTGTCTGATGAGGACTGTTGCTGTCTCCTACTCAGTTAGACAAAAATTACAATTGAATAACCATCAAAAAACTAAAAACACATGGTCAAAAACCCACCATGTAATCACACAGAAACAGTAACCAAAAACGGGAAAAAGAAGAGGAAAAAACAACAAAACCTGCAATATCTGGGGATAGGACACTAAGAGAAAAAAGGTAGAGAAGGAGAATAATTAAGGGAAAAAAATGGGAAAAATGCAAAAAGAAAAGCATGGAATGGGGTTAACCATGGGGGGATAAATGGGGGAAAAAAGTTAAATTAAAAAAAAAAATTTCGACCAGCAACAGGGAAAAGAAAAAAAGCTGAAAACTAGGACCTGGGAGGAGAAGAATAAGAATAATAGTAAGAAGGACAAAGGTATTTATAATAATAGTTGTTTTAAAACAGACAAATATAAGCAAACTAATCACCAGAAAAAAGAAAAAGAAAAAAAAATAAATCTAAAAAAAGAGAAAAAATATTGGTGGAGGACAGGGTAGGGCACCCAGACTCCGTCTGAGCACACAGACTCTGATTGAGTTTCTGTGGGCCCAGAAGTTAGGTGGGAGTGGAGGATGGCCTCACCCACATTCACCAAGCGTGTGTGGGGTATAAGAGTAAC